ACAGGAGGAGAAGGAGGAGAAAAGGGGAAGGGGAGCTGGATGATGATGATGATGATGATGATGATGATGATGATGATGATGATGATGATGATGATGATGATGATGATGATGATGATGATGATGATGATGATGATGATGATGATGGTGGTGGTGTGTGGAAGATGATGATGATGATGTATGATGATGATGATGATGATGCTTGAGGAAGATGGTTATGGTTGATGAATGATGATGATGATGATGATGATGAATGATGAGGTTTGATGATGAATGTGGATGAGATGATGATGATGAATGATGTGTTGATGATGATGATGATGATGATTTGATGATGATGATGATGATGTTGATGATGATGATGTGAGCTGATGAGTGATGATGCTGCTTCTGGTAATGATGATCAGGAGGAGGAAGGAGGAGTGAGGAGGAGGTAGGGGAGGAGGGAGGCAGGAGAGCGAGAGGAGAGGCGGCGGATGAGGTCGAGGAGAGGCTAAGGGGGACGGGAGGAGGAGGAGGAGGGAGGAGGAGGAGGTGGAGGATTCGTGAGTGGAGGAGGAGGAGAGGAGGAGGAAGAGGGGGAGGATCGGAAGGCGAGGACGAGGTAGGAGGAGGAGGTGAGGAGTTGAGGAAGAGGAGGATAAGGGGGACGGGGATGCGGGGGAGGAGGAGGAGGAGGAGGAGCGGAGATGGCAGGAGGATGGGAGGAGGAGGGGGGAGGGGAGGAGGAGGAGGGGAGGGAGGGAGGAGGCGGAGGAGGAGTGGGAGTAATTCGAGGTGGACCCACAGTCGCTGCGCGCGCGGGCGTTCGGGGGGCCCTGCGGCAGCCGTTCTATGCGCCGAGCGCCTGATAGGGGGGGGGGCGCGGGGCGGCGGATAGGCCCCTCGGCGGGCGGCTGGGGAAGGGAAGGGGAAGGAGGCGGAACGGAATAGGGGGGGGGAGGGGTGGGGGCGAGTAGGGGGAGGTGGGGAGGAGTGTGAGTTGGGGGGCGGGGAGGGGAGGGTGGGAGAGGGACGGGGGAGGGGGGAGGGGGGAGGACGGGGGAGGGGGGGAGGGGCGAGAGGGGGAGGGGGGAGGACGGGGGAGGTGTGAGCAAGGACCACGAAGGTAGCGATGCTGGGCGCCACCGTCGGGGACGCGTCCGCGATTCACCTGCCCATTGTCCCGCAGACGTTGGCCGTGCTGTGGGTGATTTCGGCGCGTCCTCCAGTGGCGGTGGCCAGGCTGGTGATGGTGATCCCGACGATGATCGCGTTGGCGCTCAGCAGCCCAAGGACCGGGATGAATGCCCGCTCCAGGCCGCCGTGCGCCCGAGCATCGGGATGGCCTCCAGGTTGTCCTGGCGGGGCCCCGCAGAAGCGGCAGCCCGTCTCGAGGAAAAAACTTCGCCGTGGTGAGATGCGTCTCCAGGTCGGAGGCGGAAGTACGGTCCTCGACGAATAGGGCGTTCTTTTGCGACGCCTGGCCCAAACGTTTCGGGACACTCACGCTCACCTTTTTCCGTCACGTAGCGGAAGTCCTCGACGAACCCCTCGCCCTGCAGCGCCGCGGGCAGGGCCGGGACGACGTCCACCGTGTGGCACGTGTTGACGTCGGCGACGCCGCCCAAGGACACCTCCAGCAGCTGCTCCGCGCGCGCTGGCGCGCCCGCGCGTTGAAAAACGCCGATGGTCGCGGAGCCGACTGCGCACTGCGAACCTAAGTGAGCGACGATCAAAAACGGGTCCTACGCGAGATTACTCAGCGACCTTACGCGGCCGTTTAAGTGGGCCGCCAGCGCGGCACGCCACATTAGAGACTAGGGCGTTTACGCGAGACCTTTCGCGGGCAGCTTACGCGCCGATGTGGGCCAGGACGACCCCGTTTTGTGGCGTCGCCCAGGTGAGCAGCGACCGAGGGCCTTGAGGACCATCTCTGAAAGGGTGCCCGGGCAAAAATAATCTGGGCGTGCGAGCGGGAGAGAGTGCAGAAGAAGGCACGGACACGCCTGAGAGAAGCGTCGGGCACCACCTCGAGGGTGGGTGTTCGGAGTTCCCGCCCATGGCCTTGAGCCAAGGCTACGGACACACACACACACACATACATACAGACGCACACACACACACACACACGCGCGCGCACACAGACACACACACTCACACTCACGCGCACACACACACACACACACACACACACACACACACACACACACACACACACACACACACACACACACACACACACACACACACACACACACACACACACACACGCGCACACACACACACACACACACACGCGCACACACACACATATTCGCCGGCCGCCTTGTGGGGCCACCAGGCTGCAGGACCTTGTCTTGCTATTTCCTGCGCCAATTCCAGTTTCAAGTTTCCACTGTTACAATTATGCTTCTTGCTGCTTCCTGTTCCTTGTTGATGGACCGCGCGCGCGAAGGGGGGGAACCGCAAACCGCAATTGTCTTTTCCACGCCCGAATCGCGTGCTCTGAATTCCTGGGAGGGGCGTGGGACACGTAAAAATACTTGAAACTCGCGCCCCCGAGGCCATAAACCCTTGTAAATTACACAATGATCGCGTCCCCGAAGCCATACACCCTCGCAAAATACGCCTTCCCTTCCCTTGCGCGCTGCCGAACCAATGCTCCTCGTGGGGCCACCCAGGTAAATTATTAAATGCGTGCGTCCCCGAGGCCACAAATGCTTGTAGATCACGCAATATTCGTATCCTCGAAGCCATAAGCCTTTGTTGAGTACACAAAATTCGCGTATCCGAAGGCATAAACCAGTGCAATGACGCAGTATTTACTACCCCGCAGCCATAAACCTTTGTCATTTACGCAATGATCGCGCGTCCGAAGCCGTAAACCCTCGTGACTTACGCAATGTTCGTGTCTCCGAAGCCATAAGCCTGCGTAAATTACACGATACTTGCGACCCCGAAGCCGTACACCCTCGTAGAGTATGCGCTATTCGCGTATCCGACGCCATAAACCCTCGAAGTACAACACCGAATTCAACAATATCATCCCATCATAATCTCAATTTCTCTTGCCGATTGCTCATCGTCTTCGCGTGAAGTCCCGACGCTGCTTCACGGCGGCGCCAAGGCCTCATGATTTCGCTCTAGCACTGCCCTTACGGATAATGATACACAGATGCGCGGGCGCGCTTATTCCACCTATGCACCCTTGCAGCAACAGCTGTAACGGGACGCTTCAACACAAACATTGACACTGCAACCGCGCGTGTGAGGATCGCGTTCAAACCGAAGCCGTGCTTTCCCGGGGGTGAACCCAAGCGAGCGCTGCGGTGCGGACAAAACCCAATCAAGCCATCCAAAGTCAGAGCGGGAGAGGGAGACAACGACGAGAGCAGCGAGACAGATGCGAGCCGACACGGCCGGCACAAGCGAAAGCACCCTCGCTCTCGCGGCCGCCGTGGCAGTCGACGTCGGCGTCGTCGCCGTCCTCATCGCTCAAATTGGGGGAACCAAAAAGTACCGATACCGCTGCTCCCAGGACCTCTCCTGAGGTGCGTTCTGACCAGGAGCTGAAGGCGAATCCAACGGTGGCGACGAGGGCCCGCCAGAAGGCCCCCAAAAGAGAACACGAGGGAAGAGTCGCAGTATGGGTACCATTTCCTACTCTTGACCCCCCTGCCTGACGGGCGCAACGCGCCAAAGTCGGCGCCGGAGGCGCCGCCATCGGGGCCCTAGCGTGGACCCAAGAAATCCGCGCGGAGGGTATAGATCACCGGGGGCCTTGGCTACCCTAGGCCCTACCCAAGGCCCTAGGCTTCCCAAGGGTAGGCCCTACCCAAGGCCCTAGGCTTCCCAAGGGTAGGCCCTACCCAAGGCCCTAGGCTTCCCAAGGGTAGGCCCTACCCAAGGCCCAGGCTTCCCAAGGGTAGGCCCTACCCAAGGCCCTAGGCTTCCCAAGGGTAGGCCCTACCCAAGGCCCTAGGCTTCCCAAGGGTAGGCCCTACCCAAGGCCCTAGGCCCAGGGGTAGGCCCCAGGGTAGCCCTAGGGGTAGGCCCTAGGGGTAACCCTTTATTGCGGATTACAACATGATTCCTCTGGTCGAGCGGGCGGGCGGGACATTAATAGCATCGGTTGCCTCGGTGGCGGATTACATATATTGATTCCCTGCGTGGTGGATTATCAACTGATTATTCTTGTCGGGCGGGCGGGCGGGACACTAAAGGCATTGATTGCATGTGTGGCGGGTGGCACACTGATTCTTATTGTGGCAGGTTACACTTTGATTCCTTTTGTCGGGCGGGCGGGCGGGACATTAAAGGCAATGATTGCTTGTGTGGCGAATTACGAATGGATTCTCTTTTATTGCGGATTACAAACTGATTCCTTTGGTCGGGCGGGCGGGCGGGACATTAAAAGCATTGGTTGCTTTGGTGGCGGATTACAAAGTGATTACATGTGGCATCGGGTTACAAGTTGATTACTATTGTGGCGGATTACAAGCTGATTCTTTTGGTCGGGCGGGCGGGCGGGACATTAAAGGCATTGCTTGCTTTGCTGGCGGATTACATATTGATGCCCTTTGTGGCGGAGTGGGAGTGGAAGAGGAGGAGAAGGGGGAGGAGGAGCAGGAGGGGGAGGCGGAGGGCGACGATGACGACGATGACGACGACGACGACGACGACAACGACGACTGTCTGGGCCTGGAGCGTGCCCGGCGGGGCGCGCCTTCCTGAGCGCACGCCGACGCGAGGGAGACGCCGAGGACCGACGAAGACCTGCTCGGCCCTCGGTCTTCGAGGAGGTCTGGGCTTGGGCCCCCCTCCTCCTCCTCCTCCTCCTCCCCCTCCTCCTCCTCCTCCTCCCTCCTCCCTCCGCACGCCTCCTCCCTCCTCCCTCCTCACTCCGTCCGCCCGCCTCCTCCCTCCCCCCTGCTCCCGCTGCCTCCTCCGCCTCCGCCGCCACCTCCTCCTCCTCCTCATCCTCCTCCTCCTCCTCCCCCTCCTCCTCCTCCTCCTCCTCC